TTGTGCTGTTGAAGCTAGAGAGGTGAGCAGTCTAAGCCTGATTCCCAGTAAGGACATCTCTGTTGACACCCACCCCTTGGCGCTCATATGACCTTATGCAGTTGCGAGCGCTGTAAAACCCTCTACTATAAAAAAATATAAATGGGTCGCCAGTGCGGTAATAAAACTTTTAACCAAAACGAAAACCTCGAATAGTCTTCACATCCCGACTTTCCGTCTGCAGGAAGACTTTGGGTCTGAGAGTGCGAACGCGTCGGCCGGGTCGATGCGGGTGAAGCGTGTCGACTCCAAGGTCAACCTGTTTGGGTACGCCCTGGAAGATGGAGGCGGACGAGTGCGGGGTGTGGTCTGGACCGGCTGTGTCGCTGACTTGGGAGAAGGTGAGTGGCTACACGCAGTCCTGCCATTGTGGGTGGTTGGCGGGTGCTCTGATGTGGTTTGCTTCTTCTTTCCTATGTTATCGATCCAGAGAGATCTATGGTCTTTATCTCCCCTCCTTTTTTTGTGTTTGTTACTCTCTTGTAACGCCTCTAATCTTCTGGCACTTATATGACCTTGTTGTGTTGCAAGTGCTGTAAAACTCTTACTTAAACTAAACCGCACACCTGCCACTCGTCACGGTTTAACCGGGAGATCCAGATTTTTCTTAGCCTCAAATCTCGATCATCCTTCCACTGCAGTCATCTTGGTGATTTGCTGTTGATCCCTATTTTTTTTCACCAAGTCCCAATTCCCCCCCCCCCCGAGATCCAGATTTTTAGATTTCATAGAGTGGCCGTTCTGTACAACGGGAAACAGCAATGTTTTCTGTGGCTCTACGGGGATGGTAAAATTAAAACAGGTGGATTTTCACAATTTTCAACTCGAATGTCAAATGTGAAGTCAGTCTTGTTGTATGGATGTGAGACGTCGAACGCATCTCAGACGTGCATAAAGAGGATCCAGGTTTTCTTAAACAAGTCTCTGAGGAAGCTACTGAGGATCGAATAGACAGACAGGATCACCAACGAGGAAGTATTAAGAAGAATGAGACAGAGCCCAGTCAGAGATGAGGTGGGAAGAAGATGTTGGCGATAGATTAGACACACTTTCAGGAAGTCAAGCAGCTGTACAACAAGGAAAGTGTTAGATTAGAACCCACAGGGTAAAAGCTCAAGGGGAAGACCTCGTGGAACCTGGAGAAGAGTCACGGAAATGGATGTACAGAAAAGCGAGGAGACATGGAGTGACATCAAGCGACTAGCCCAGGATAGGGAAAGGTGGAAAGTGTTTGTTCGTGGCCTATATCCTGATCCAGGTGGAGAAAGGCAATGATGATTAAAATACACAGAATGTAAATTATCTATGACAATGACAATCTTTATTCATCTCACAGTGGCAGTGGATGTTACAAAAGTTAGGTGCACTCACATATACCCTCAACAAGACAGGACATTTGTAAATATGCTGAAACAACCCACTCCGTAAAACAATCTCTCTCTCTCTCTCTCTCTCTCTCTCTCTCTCTCTCTCTC